TTAGCGTTAGGGTAAGTGTATTATAGTAGTGCTGGTCATTGCTGTGCACATAAGCACGTGAATGTTGTGCCCGTAGCATTCGCCTAAACAGAAACCTCAATATTGCTCAAAAATTGCACAAGAAACCTCTTTCATTGGGCAGTTTTTACTATATGCTGCAGTATTAACCTCTTATTAATCACGCGATAGTGGCATTTGGTAGTCAACACTACTTAAATAGTTATTAGATATACGTAATAAACAAGAGAAACTTCGCTAATACAATAATAAGCCATTTATTATTCACTTGCGTTTCCTATAAACGGTTTATAGAGTTAATTACATACTGCAATTTTTTGATAGTTGTATCCTTAATATTATCTTAAATTTTAACGTCAAAATTATTAGAGTTAGAGGTTACTTTAAACACTAATTACTTAAAAAATTTCAAGTACTTTAAAATTCTATTCAAATTTAAAAATGGTTAAGGTATATAGACATTATTACTGTGTTTTTTAATGGTATAGAATTAATATTGTAATTGATTTTAATAATACAATAAAACAAATTCAACTTTGGTCTGTGGTGATTTCATCAGTTTCATCATGATCTTGATGTAAAAATTCTCTTGGTTGTTGTTCGCTTTTAATGGAATATAATAATGAAATGTCAACAATATAATCCTCAAAAAGCATGGTAATTTTTTCCAAACGCTCAACTCTTTCTTCAGCCGAAAAGCGTTTTAACTCTTCTAATCTTTCAAGAAAATTTTTTTCTTCAATGTTAGCTAATGAACCTACTACAAATGGTAAGAGACCTTTTTTGGTTCGTCTTCTAAAACAACGGATTTTTTGTAAGTAGCCCCATGGCTTAGATAAATTCATTCCTTAAATTTAAAAATAAGTGAGCAAAAAAAACTATGAGACATAATAATTTAATTTGACATGATGTCAATTTACCAAATAAAAATACATAAAAGCTTGCAATAGCACTATAAAGAGCTGCAGTAATTCCTAGCACTGTTATGACCTATTTATCAGAGTGATAAGTTTTTTTCAAAAGAAAATTTAAGCATTAAATAAGACTATTCTCAAAAAAGTTGATAATGTTAATTTTTGCTTTAACTCAATTGATCATGCATAATTACTGCCTACCGTATCGCTTCTATTGTTGATTAAATCGTGAATACAAGTATGTTAATAAGGTATGATAAAAATGTAAAAAAAGTGAGCTAGCAGATTTTATTAAAGAATTTTTTATTTTTTTACTTTTGCTCTTTTTGTTCTTCTACAATAGTGGTCTGTGGTTGGATCTGTACTTCTAATGCCGCATTATATTGCAAACCGGAATATTATACGACCTCTGTTTATTGACCAAAAACAAGATAAAAAGACACATAATAATAAAGATTTTTAAGCTAAATTATATTAAATATTATATTAAATATTTATGATAAAGATTTTTAAGCTAAATTATATTACGAATATTTGATTCAATGAAAGGTTGCACATAATAGTCTGGTGCAAAACCAATATAAGTAAGAGGTGTTTGGATCAGCACTTTTCTAATTTTTCTTGAGAATTGGAGAATATATGACTATTTGATTTTAAAAAAATAATTATTATAGCATAGGCTAATTTGAAACATATTCGAAAATGATTTTATATCGATATACAAACAGATTGTCCAGCGGGCGGTGAATAATAATATTGATTCAATCTGTAAATTGATTTGACAAATTTATCATATGGAGGTGGCGGATTTTTAAAATCTTCACGAAATGGATTATATTCTATATTATTATTTATTGCAATATTATTATAACTGTTAAGTATGTTAAGACTTCCTACAAATTTTTTGTGAGAATACCTTCCTGCGTCATATGCATACATATACATAGGTCCATTATCAGCGTAAGGATTGTATGAAGGATCCGTGATGTTTATTGAAATTAAAAGGAAGTATGGGTTGTTTACATTATTCGCTCTAATATTTCTAGAGCTTAACATTATTTTGCCCTTTGGTAAAAACGATCCAACAAGTGGATTAAAGGGGTCAAATGGTGTATTGGTGTAATTCATTGTTGTTGTAATATAATCGCCACAATCTGCATTTTATTAATCAAAAACTTGAAAACGTGAAATAATTAATTCAAAAGCATTTAAACGACTCATTATGAGAATATACCTCTATCTGAATTATCGATTGTACAAGAGATAGTAAAATTACGAGTAAAGGCAAAATAAAGGTCTGCATTACATTGATCTTAGATAAATAACAGAGTTTATGTATTTTTAATGAAAAAAAGACCACTATTTTACCTGGCGAAGGCACACCGTTAGGCGATATTAAAGTGTATTTAATGCTAGGCACTTCTTCAGTCATTTTAATGCTCAATATCACAAGAAAACCGATTAATAACAACATTAATATAACAATAACAATCCGTCGAGACCATAAAATCAATGTTGGTTCAGTTTTGCGCGACTTTTGGACTAAGTCATACAACATTTTTATTTTTTTATTTCAATATTTTATTTTATATGGAGCAGAAAGAAATGGAAAAAAGTGGAGTTTACTCTCTTAAATAATCTTCCAAAATTCACCTCGCAATTGTTAAATATGGAAAATAGAAACCTCTACTAGAAAACGGGTAAAAAGAAATTTGCTTAAAGCCTACTGAATAATTTATTGTGGGGGTAATTAATTGCAATTATTTTGAACTCAATTTGTAGTTTAATAAAATAAACTTGTACGTAAATTACACAAGAAATCAATCAATGATTAATTATCTGCAAACCGCAATAATATTAATTTACATTCCCTTTCGAAAGACATATTTATCAAAGTACATTTTAAGTCTCTATTATTAACTGGTTCCAATGAGCGAACAATACTACATAGAGGCTTTTTTTAAACTTACAAATGACGGCAAGAATCAAGTGTAATTTATGCCCTCCCGGGTCACAGCTTCAATTACAATTACATAAATAGAACATTTTTTAGTTACAATTACATCAAAATATATGGAATGTTTGAGATTCTAAGACTTACGGTCAATAAGAAACCACTCGATTTTTAACGATTAAAATAACGATTTCTATAGATAATCTGCAAATTTCACAAAATTTTGCAGATTATTTTCGTGTAACAAGTATAATAAACGAATTAATTTCAGCATCAATAGACATTTCTATGCTGGCCCCAAAAGAGGTCATTAGGACATCAATAGTAAACAATCGGAATTATGTTTTCAATAAGATATCGATAGGAATGCCTATTGATGCCTATTACATCCCTATTGAACTTAATTTTACTTGTTACAGTAATTATAATAAAATTTAATTGCGAAATTCATGTCCCAATGTTCTCGAGAACATTAATCAAAAATTTTAAGAACTAATATGTTCTCTGAGAACATTAAATATATTTTTTTTCGATATTATACAAATTTATATTGAGAATATTAAAAAATTTTTGAAAATAAGGGCGTGAAAAACGTTCTTAGTGAAACATAAAATTTCACACATTGATTGTTAATTGCAAAACTTTTAGATTTGTGCACCTATTCATATTTACGTATATTGCGATAAAAAGATTTTAGCATTGCTCTTATTGATAATAAAAAAACTCTCCAAGACTATATAGCACTTACTTTAGCATGAGATATTTTTATTTTTATTCTTTCTTATTTTTTTGTAATACTTTCATATTTTGTCAAAATGTTCCTGAACCTAGATGGATGCAGGCTAGTGTGCTAATTGGTAATAAGTTTTATTTCTTTGGTGGAGCGATGCCTACTGTTACCAACGAAGTATGGTATCTTAATTTATCAAGTTCATTTAATACAACAAATCCTTCATGGCATAAAGTTGTTGAAATGCCAGTAGCAAATTTTTTAGGTTCATGTGTCAGCCTCATTAATAATTCCATTGTTTTTATAATTGGTGGAGCCATGTTTGCTTCAGTTACAAAAATGACCTTACATATAGCAAAAGATCTACTTCGTTCTTTAAATGTATTCTCATATACAATTGATTCTAATACACAATGGACACCATTGAATATTATTAATTTTAATGATAGCTTCACGATGCGCTATGAGATACAGGCGGTTATTGATGATATTGGAAATATTTTTATTTTTGGTGGAAATAAGTACGCCTCTTCAATTATGTTTAATGATATGAATATACTTAATTCTACTACTATGACATGGTCAACACTTCCTTCACCCCGGAATGACCCTGCTCCTCGTGTGTGTTATACTGCTACATTGTTACCAACTGGTCTTATCATTTATATTGGTGGATATGAACCAGACTTAGTTTTAGCCAATATGAGTGTGGTACGACTTGGTTATATCATTGTTATACAGTATATAAGTACTTGATTCCATTACCTAACCAAAATTAAAATACAGATCCAAATATTTGACTCAAAATCTTTAAGCTGGTCTACTAAAGTATGTAAAAAAATAAATTTTTGGTATAAAAAATTATATAATTAATGATTTTACGAATATTTTGTTTAATCTTAGATAACCAATGGTGATTCTATAGGAACTCGAATAGGTCATTCAGCTGTTCTGAGTATGTATATTTAAATATTCCGATCACTATACCAAGATCACGAGTATTTTTTATTAATATCGAGATACGCACGTACAGTATTTAACATCTACCGTTACGTATTATTTTTGACCAGCTCAAAATGGAAATATTATTATATATGGGGGTTATTCGCTCCGCAATAATACTTACAATACATATGTTAGGGTACCTTTTGATTTGGCAGTGTTAGATACAAATACCTGGTTGTGGTCCGTTCCGAATATTCCACAAAAAAATTCACCACCATCACTTGCATTTCATTCCGCAGCATTATATGAGAATTTTATGATTATTACATTTGGTAATTACAATACTTATTAAATTTAACATATATATTTTTTTGTAAAAATTATTTAAATTTTACGTACGTATATATTTATATATATATTTATATATTAGGTAAAATTGTATCTACAACAACTGGATTACAAATCAACAATGTATATATACTTGATATACAAAATTACGTCTGGATTACTACTTTAAACCCAAATAAATCTGAAATAGTAAGCCAAAAAACCTTGCCAAGTCAATGGAATCTTCCAACTGAACAAGTGATAAATCTTTTGCCTAATGATTCTCTACTTATTGAAATTTGTGTAAGTATAGGAGGAATTATATTTGTCGTAATTTTATCTTTTGCTACAGTTTTATTATGTAGGAGATATAAAACAAAATGAGTATAAAATTTTAAATGAGGCCAAGCGAACTTTTCGTAACATATTAAGACCAATGAGCGTTCAGAATTCAGTTGTTTTTGTTTATAAATTTAAAAAAATGGATGCAAAATATTAGTAGTAATTCTAAATTAGCATCTGGGCAATGTCTGGGCACGTCCTTATGTTCATTAAAACACATAAAGAACTTTTAAAACTTATTATAAGTTTGGTATAGGATATATAGAAAATCACTATGAGTTCATTATAAACAGTTTGTATATGTATAGGGCTTATAGTGTGACCCAGATCACGTAATTAGAACTGGCCAATCTGATTGTTTAGGGTACACGATAGACTTAATAATAAGATATTAGTTTAACGAAGATTATTAAAGTATATATCACTATATAACTCTAATATATAACTACAGCTATTATTATAAATCCTGGGACAACTGTGACGCCTGACAAAAAATTAGCTGAATGATTATTCTGCCGATTCGATAAGTTTTTGATTTCGGCATGATTAGTATAACAGATAACGTTTCTCGACCAAAGATGATAGATTTAATTAACATTATTAATCGATAATGATCAGATAACCAAATAATTTTAGATATCTCTGATTACAGCTGTTTTCATAGATTTTGGGACAGCTAAAAAAATTTTTGACAAATTACCGAGTTTATGGGACGACTGAAAAAATTTCAGATGACCAAATCGATAAGTTTCTGAGGTCAGCCGAAGTCGGCTACTTGTTGATTCAGACTCGGTAACTTATCGATTCGGTCATTTGAAAATTTTTCAGTTGTCCCCAGAATTTCAGCTGTTTTCATAAATTCTGGGACACCCTAAAAAATTTGCCGAAGTCTATTCGGCCGAATTCGATAAGCTATTTATCTCGGTGCTACACATATATTACATATGTATTTGTTACTAAGATTTTCAAACATATTCGTTGGAAAATAGTTGAAAGAACTTAGAAGGCTTAAGTTAGAGATATTTGGGTGTTAACAGGTCTTCTGTGGTCGAGTTCTCAAACAATTTCAAAGGTATGACTGTGTTGATGAATTACCATCACTTTAAATAAACACTATGCGTACTTTGAACTTTATTCTAATTATTAAGACATCGTCGGCAAATATTAATAAAATCTTGAACTCTGATTTCAACTTGTGTTGCATTTTTTTACGACCCCTGATCGTATTTAAACCTTTTTTTTATTAGTGCCTACTCGTGTAATATGGAATGTTACGTATTAAAAAGGCAAATTTTCAAATTTATTTATAGATACAGTATATTTCAATAAACGAGTTTGCTATACTATAAGTTACCAAAGATAATTATATAATAAAAAGATCCACAAAACGAACTTGAAGTTTATATGTTTATTAAGAAAGTCCAACTTATGTTCAAAACTTTTTTGTAAATTGGCAAGAACAGTTTTTGGCATAAATTTTTGTATCATACATATTTGATAGGGCAAAAAAAAAAATTTTAATAAAGTGTTGAAATAGTTGACGTTGCGAATGTAATATAATATTGATCGAACAATGTGCTGTAATAGTAACTCAATAATTTTTCTATATACTGATCACGCACTAATCATACCGAAATCAATATTATCAAATTCGGCCGAATAGACTTCGGTAAATTTTTTAGGGTGTCCCAGAATTTATGAAAACAGCTGTTATGAGTACAGCTATAAATCAATAAGTTGTCCGACATCAAAAACTTATCGATTCGGCCATCGGCAATTTTACAACTGCCGTAAATACGATATTTCAAAGCATATTCACTAGCAAATAATTGAAAAAAATTTTAGAAGGATTATCAGCTCGAAAAAATACAGATGTTAGCAAATCTTTATAAGCCTAGTTCTCGGGCAGTTTCGAAGATATAGATGTATTGAAATACCCTCCGTCACTTTAGGAAAACTACGCTTACTAAACTCGAATGATATATCTTAAGATTTTACAGATGACGAAAAATTGTCGACGACCGAGTCGATATGTTTTTATATCAGTCTATGGCGGTAACTTATCGATTCGGTCATCGGAAAATTTTTTAGCTGTCCCTGAATTTATGAAAATCAGCTGTAATGAAAGAAAAAT